TTTGTTAGCTGTGTGGAAAGTAGTACACACAAAATAATCAGATCTTTCAAAAATAATGACTTAGCTGGGCTTCTCATTAGCCTGAGGCACAAGGATCATGACTCTTAGTTCAGCTGGGCAACAAAATTCTTAAGCTGGAGATATAGCTCAGTGGTAGAGCGTTAGCCTAGCATGCAAGGGATCCTGCAATCAACTCCCAACTTGAAAGAAAGATTTATATACTTCTCTATTCAATGTCACTATTTTCCTTTTGAGAAATTATGTATACAAAGTCTTACATAAAGAGAACCACGAACCCACAAAAAGTGGTTTATTTAAATTCTCTGCTCTGTATATTGTGTTATGAAATAATACGTTGCTGCTATCGCTTTTGTAACACCTAAGTTTATATTCATCCACTTTCAAGGGGGGTGTCCAATTGGTTTTTTCCCCCTTTTGAAGGTAGTTTGGCATTTACTGCAGTTTAGTTTCAAATTCTGAGAGACATTTAAATTATTGTGAAGCATTCCACCTACTGTATTCCATTACAGAGCTATAAAAACATCAATAGCCAAGGTAGCTCAAGCATTGCATCAGAGAATTAATCATTACCCCATACACCTTGCAATAATACACTCACAGCACAGGAGGGAACCAGGTGTCAAAATCAACACATCTAGTACTTCAGTCAGAAATCCTGTTAACACTCCTTCCCTTCTCTGCAAGTCACTTCAAGCAGATGAAGAGGGATGACTATAGGTGCTGGGGTGTTTTTGTTGTTGCTTTTTTTTTTTCGAAAAATTTATTTTCAAAGCTGATTAGAAATAAAATTCACTTCAGACTGTTGAATGGAGATAAAGACTTCAGTCCAAGTTTCTGCAAATTTTGTTGCTTTGTCATGCCCGTCCTCCAAAGAGTGAAATGCTGTGAGAAGTTTCACCTCTTGCTGTTGCATCAGGAGGAGAGGAGGGTATATTGCCTCAGCTGTGGTGCTCAGCCTTCTCACAGTGAGCTCAATCACATTAACTTGTGAGAGACTCTGGAGAGAGGAGACAGAGGACAACCGTGCACTGCACAGCCCACACAGTTGGAAGAACTGCTGTTATTTTGTGTACTCCTAAGAAAGAAAAGCACTGCCAATCAAACTATGGCAAGTTGTTGGTTAGAAGGCATGTTTGGATTTCAGAGATACTAAAATGAGAAAAAGTATCGTCTTGGAACAGATGCATTATGGAATTAAATAGTGCTGGTGATTTGCACAATAGTAACAATAAGCCCTACAGGACACTGTATAGGACCTCTCTGTGGACAGTCTCCTCTGATTTTCCAGTTTTGCCAGCTAGGCAGGCTTGGGAACAACCCAATTAGCAACTGCAAGCCCAGGACTTCCTTGGCACCTTCCTCGGGGGACCTATGTTGAGTCGCAAGGCGAAATATACTAAGCCTAGTTAAATCTGAGTATCAGATAAACAACAAATAATGTTTCACTGTAAGTATGGCCAAACTAATGTATGAGACCTCTTACACTAAGAAAAATTAGCTGGGTATCTTAGTGTTTTTCCTTGCTAAGTCCAGCAACTGTGCCTCCAGGGGAATTTTACTCTTGGCTTTCACTACTTGAACTTAACTTTTACCTCTGAGAATCCTCTACTAACATCCAACTCATTGAGACAACCTTGAGAGCCGGGGTCATTGCGGGTCATTGTAGAGATGAATGAGCTAAATTTCCTCTTCAGACTCGAAGTCCCAGTAAAATTTATTGATGTGACTGAATGCTCATTACTTGTCATACTTTTACAGGGTAGTTAGGATGAGAAGGTTGCTGGGGAACCGTGAAGATAGTTAAAGTACTTTTAGTCCTCAAAACCAGCGCATTGGGGTGGTCTGTGGGCAGCATCCCAGGGACTGTGTCTCGGGTCTATATTCAGAGTAGCTGTGGTAACCAGCAGCACCAAACTCTAACCACTTGATTAAGTCAGGAACATCACTACGCACTAGTGCTGCAGCTTTTGTTTTACAGAGGGGGCAACTGAGTCACAAGTGGGCTAAGGAATCGGCTTCAAGTGTGTCCACCACCTCGTCCTCTTGGAGAGCCTGCCTCTGAGGCTCCTGGCTTCCTGTCCCAGCACTCGCCATTCTAGCATTGCTTCTTGGTGATGCCGAGGCAGCTTCCCACAGCCTTTCCAGCTAGGTGAGCTCTGCTCAGTGCTCTTCCTTTCCAATCCCGTCTCAACTAAATTGACCATTTGCGGTCTATTCTCCCTATGTGGGAGCCCTCTGATAACTGTAAAAGACCCTACCTAGTTTAGTGCCACAACTGGCACTGCAAAAACAGCTAAAATAACTGGTTCATAACATGCAATCTTCACCTTTCCCTGCCAGCAGGCTGAAGTACTCTGGAAGGTTCTTCAAAGAGTCAAACTCTTTGGTTACAGCTCGCCCCAGGCAGACGGTGCCTCCTGGATAGCCACTGTCTAACATCAGCAGGCTCTGGGCTACAGGCCACCTTTGGGAAATGGAACTTTATTCCAAACTGGAGCATGTTGGATTTCCTAGTCACCTGGGAGCTCTTCCAGGACAGTCACGCTGGTCAGGGCCTTTCCCAGCTGCCTCGTTCCTGCAGAGACCGAGAACTGATTCACAGTCTCGTGGGCTAGCACAGCAACTTTGCACTGCTGAGACAGAGCCGTGTGGCACAGACATCTCTTGGACCTAGGGCAAAGAGAAGCAACTGTACAGCAGTTTACCAAGGGCAGATGTGATACGAGTAAAAGGAGCATGAACAATAGGCTTTATGAGCAATTGTTGGAATGGTTTCTCCACACCTGCGAATTCCATCGAGCCTGCATAGAAAGTGTTGGGGAATTATGCCTACACTGAGTGCGTCTGTGCTTTCCTTCATCCTTATTACCTCATCAATTTAATACAACACCTACTTTCATAGCACTGACGCTGTATCAGGTTTTATAAGTAATCTAGAGGTGATTTAAAGTACACTGGAGAACAAGTACAGGTTCTACACGGATACCGCACAGCATTTTAGACAAGGGACATGACCATCAGCAGATGATGGTATCCGGGGAGCTTCTGGCAGCCACCACCGTGGTGGTGACGTTTGTGTGGGGTACAGTAGCATCCGGCTGCACACAGAGATACTCCTCCCTTGGCGCTGTGTTTATCAACAGTGAGTGCACCTTGGGATTGCTTGAGAAATATTCTTTTAAGCCCCAGAAACATTAAATCCGAATCCCTGGGGTGAGTTTTATATATATTTTTAAAGTTTCCCAGATGATTTCAGTAGGCATCTGGGATTGAGGTGTTTTAAAGAAAAGATGCTTCCATCCGGGGCTTTTAGGAGGAAAGTCTCTCTAAATTTTAACACAGTTTAGCAAATATGATTAGTTTTCATTTTATTTCCTAGCTCCCATAAACAACTTCTAAGTGTTGGACCAATGCTGCCATCTGTAAGGCATATGACAATAACAGACAGTCGCCTAATAACCAGGAAGGCATTACTGTCCCAGGCTCTGAATTTTCTGGATATGTCTGGTAGGATCCGTGTTGATGAGGCCACTTAATGCTTGATCTCTGTGTCTTCTGATAGCAGAACCACAAGTGGTAAGGCCGTATTTTCCAGGCTGAGCATTGTCCGCTGTCATGCCATAGAGCTGTTACAAGATGGATTTATAGCAGACCTAAAGGTAGTATCGAAATGAAAATTAGTTCCTGAATAGAATAGTAATCCGGCTGACTTGCCTGTAGCAACTGCATCATCTCTGCCTCCGCAAGGAAGGAAATGACTTCTTAATGTGGTTTCCTTCCACTAAGGAGAATTAAATCTGTATGGCAAAATGTAAAACCAGTGTGCTGGCAGCCACATTCTGAAAGGAAGATCCATGACCCTCATAAACATATTTGTGGCACAGTTACATGCTAATGAACCTCATTTGGGCTCAGTGCACTGGGTGTGAGAAATACAGCTCAGCTGGAGGCTGGGCTTTTGTTCTCTCACTGATTTGCCTCCTGCCTCAAGTTCACTCTGAAATAAACAGAGCAACTTCTCCATTTGCCACAAGCTGTCCAGCGCGGCCTCTGGGTTAGATTTAGGGTGTCGGGGTCCTGCGATAGCAAATCCCACTATTTTAGTTGCAGTCCTTTGCTGAACTGGCAAGATGACCTTCCAAGTATCAAGCTGACTTTTGGGTGGACGTAGGAGGTGGAGGGAAACCGCCGGCGGAATGATCTGTTCTTTGTGTATATACACAATCTGGAGGGGGTCAAGCCTGGAACCTACGGTCACCTACGTGAGAGGTCTTTCACTGGGAAATGAGCTTCTCCAGACCTCAGGGTCCATGTTGATAAATGGGTCGAGTAGCACCTGTCTGTGGGCTACTGCAAGGGTCGATGAAATCATGCAAAGCAGAGAAACCGCCCTTCGCGATACGTTAGCCATCACTGGCCGTGCCAAAGAATCATGTGTTAAACAAATACTGGTATTTAAGCAGGTCTTCAAAATAACTGTTGACGAGGACTGTTCATTTTTGAAGTCGTTTTCCTATTTAATAGTTTTCACCGTCTGACCGCTTAAAGCCTCTTTAATGGAAAGAGCAGTTTCTCACTCAGTATTCAGGGCCACAGCATCATGATCCTAACTGTACTTGGGTTGTTCTGGTTGCCAGAGTAAAACTGCTCAAGGCTCATGTAAGAGAGGCTGGACCAGAGAGAGCAGTCGGTAAACCCCGGCCCAGCTGCCCTCACCCACCCCGCCTCTATCTGTCCCGCTATTCCAACCTCAGCACACAATTTCGAGACCACAGAGGGCTGTAGGGTCGCCTTGTCTTCTTGTTTTATGTGAATTCTTACGTGAAATCTCATTTTCGAATCCTGGCAGCTAAAATGCACACACATGCACCTATCTGCCTCTAATATGCAAATTCTATGCAGTCCTCCCCCTGCCCCCAACACGCATTGGAGGAGAGTCCGAGATCCCGTTGCTGACCCCGTTCCGTTTTTCCCCGTAGCTGGAGAAGCACGACAGACCGGAGGAAGACGGCCCGGCCTCCTGGAGATCCGAGGAGGAAATGGCCGCAGAAGCTGCTGTGCTGCGGACCTACTTCAGTGACAGCGGTAAGCCTGCGCTAGGGCTCCCCGACACCCCTTGGCAAGGGAAGGCGGAAGGGGACCCCACGTGGGTCCTGGGGCGCGTTGTGAACACCCCCGGCCGTCTTTCCAGTCTCCCATCCGCGTCGGCACAGCACAGGGCGAGTGGGGCACAGTGGTTGCTTTGGAAGCTCAACACTCTGTAGGCTGCTTGGCCCCCCTGCATCTCCCTACTCTTGCTGTGGCTCAGTAGGTGACCCCTGTGTTTCTCTCTTGCCTTGGCTGAGGGGAAACTCAGGCCGTGGGAAACGGGGTGGGATGGAATTGTGTCTGCGTTCTTGATGCCTACCTGCTGGAGGTCACTTCTGTGCAAAGACAGTTACAGCCGATCTCCCTTTCAAAATGCATCTGCAAACCAAATTCGTGTACAGTTCAAGAGGTCGTGGATCCTCTGAAATGTGTTCATAAATAGGGCTGCTGTGCAATATTGGGACAAACCTAGATCGACAGTTACTCACTGTTTATGTGAAATGCTCGTTTAACTGGGGTCCTATATTTTAATATACCTCTGGAAGGGTCATGAGCCTCAGATAAAGATCCCCTCCTTTAAACAGCTTCTTTTCCCCTCTAGAATTAGACAATTCTCAGTTAGAATTAGGTTGCTCTTCATCTGGCCTTGGCATAAATATGTTTATTATAAGTTGCTGAAGCAGATCAGATACAAATGTAAGACACAGTTATTGAACACATAGTGATAGCTACTGAAAACTGAATCCGAAAATTGTCAACCATTTAGTGGCTGTGATTTTGTTGTTGTTGTTGTTTTAGCTGTATAACCAGGGTTGCACTTTCTCTAGTTTCAGTGACATTCTCTCAGCTACAGTCCAAAAATATTAAAAGAGAAGGGGACCAAGAGATGGAGGAAAGGGAGAGAGCAGGGAGGGCAGGAGGAGGAACAAGGAACTCAGATGTGTTATGTACATGTGCCAGCTCCCCACAGGTAAGGATCTACAAACACGTGCCAATGGAAATGTAAAGTCGAACGCTGCTCCTCCATCTCCCCAGTGAGAGGAGCCATCCCAGGGTACACAGGGTCCCGCCAGCCGCTGAGCACCTGTCCTGGCTGTCACGTGGACGGGCATCGCAGTGCTTGTGTCCAAGTTGCCCTTACTCCACTTAACAGAGGTCCCGGGCACAAGAGTAGTGGTGCTGGTTTGACATCAGGAGGTGCCCGGCGTGCTTCCTGTGAGCGCCGCCTGACACTGTCACAAGAGGAAGGCCGAGGACAGGACAACATTCACGTAACTTTTACTACAGAATATTGTTACACTTATTCTGTTTTACTATTAGCTATGTTATTTCCCGACTGTGCAGATTTTACAACTTAAACTTAATCACGGGTACATATGTTTGGAGAAGAGTATATATGCGGGGTTCTGTCCTATCCCAACTTTCAGGCTCCCCCTGGGGCCCTGGAACACCTCCTGCTGTAGCCTGGTGTCACTTTGAAATGTAAGGCTTTCTCGGTAGCTTAAGTACATGTGCATTCTCTGGCTTTCTCTCCGCAGCACCGTTAATGTAGCTGCATTACACAGGGCCCCTGAGCGCGGCCCCGATGTTGCGCTGCACAGTGAGCTGCCCGCCCCTGCCCTGGAAGACTCACTTCATTCTCCACGACATCCGTGCACACACTGCTGCCTGCCCAAATGGAGCGTGGTGCAGCGGGAGCTGCCTGTCGTGTTTTACTCTCAGCCTTTTCCACTGTTCATTTTCTTTCTCTGTCTCCGCCTCTGTCCCTCACCGTTCTTTTAAAGGAAGGAAGGATGGAATGAGCCCAGCCCTGCAGCGTGGCAGCCCCCTCTCATCCTACTCCTTCCTGCCAGCCGGGAATGGCTGTGTGTACGTCAGTGTGGAGTGCAGTGGGGCCTCAGATCTTCAGTTCCTAAGCTGGATTTGTGTTCTGGATTTCTAATCCAATGGGTGTTTTCAGGTAGAGGCGAGAAAGCTCTAGGCTTTTCCTGAGGCTTGCTGAATCCTAAGGGTCTATCTTAGAATGTATTTCTAGATGCTCTAGGAATATTTAAGTTTACAACTCGAGACTTCTGTGTGCATCACTTTGTCAGTTTTGTGTCTGTCTTACCTTGAGGCCCGACATCTCCCGTCACCCAGGTAAATTCGCTTGCCTTCTCAGTCATGCCAGGAAGACATTCTCCCTAAAGTTACACAAGCGATTGCCACCATGCCCGTGCGCTCTCACATTCACTAATGTTTATCTCTCTCTCCAAGGGGCTGTGTTGACAGATAAAACGAATCACTTCCCAAGAAGCCAAGTATGGAGGGTGAGACTAGGAGGAACAATGTAGCACACAGTGCTACCTGGGACGCAGGGTACTGAAACTTAGGCTCCTTACATTTTGCCAAGAGCATCACCATTCTCTGTGATATAATGGGCCTCAATATTCTTTAATATACTCTGAAGGCAAAGGGAAGGAGAAGCAGACACATTCTCTTTTGTAGGAAACTTGGTCCTTCGGTTTGTCTTCCTGGTTCCTTGACAAACCACCCTCTTCCCATTTCAAAACGCACTAGATTTGTGTATAGTTTTAAATGGGTCATGTAAATTCTGAAATTCACTAAGAAATAGAGCAACCACGGAACATCTGGACATACCTAGGCTTAAAACCGATCTGTTGGTCACCTGAAATGCAGATGACCGTGGCCTCTCAAGGCTTTCCTGATTGGACGCTCAGCTTAGGCTGGACACATTGAAAGAGTTGGAAGGTGCTCCTTCTACAAGATGGCGCAGTTCTCAGCACAAGCAGGGTGGGGCCCAGCCATGAGGAGATGACAACAGCCAGGGCTTACTGAGAATTTACAAGCAGAGTGTGATTATCATCCTGTCTTACAGGTGATGGGCAAACTGAGGTTCAGTGATTTAAGTGTTATTCCAAGGCAAATGGTTCTCGGAGGCAGCACTCACACTGGACCTCAGGTCATGGAACCCAAAGGCCATTGTCCTGGTCTTTGTCCACCCACCCCACTACCAGAGCTCAGTCCTGCAGCAGCCCTTATCCCTAGCCCTGCTCTCCCGGCACTCACAGGTGTTCTTTTTAGGCTTTTTGCCTTGTCTGCTCACCTCTCTCGTTTCCCTCTGGAGACACCCACTCCTCTTCCTCTGCTGAATTTCCTTCCAGCCTTGTTAACGTCACCTTCTCCAGCACCTGGCCGGTCCCCCTGCAGCCAGGTAGGAACCAAGACAGACCCCTGCTCTCCCCAGATGACTTTTTTCTCCCGCAAGGTTTGCAGGTGATGCTGACTTCTACCAGGTTGTCCTCTGACTCCTTTCTCTACCATTGGCCCACACGATATGACCTTCGGTGGATATTGTGTTTTCCAAATTTTATGCATTCCCATTTTGTCATGATTTTTCTTTGTTTTTTTAATCTTTGTGGCCACGCGGGGCATTAGTTATTATTTACTGGATTCACTTTTTAAATTTGAGTGTATTTATCATAAAATGTATATCCCAGCTTCAATGAGAAAGAGGTAGAACTTGTAATGAGAAGGTGAGTCTGAATATAAATACTCAAGTAAAACAGTGCTCATAAAATTCCAGCTGACAGAGCTGCTTTTCCGCAGTTGCCAGGACTGAGGTTAGAAGTGAGCCCAGCCACTGTTGGGCATTTGCTTCCAGCACCACCCAGAGATACGGAGGCCTTTCACTGACCTCCTCAGAAGGGTTAAAAGGGAATAACCTGCTCTGAAATGCAGTGTCAATCACCTACAATTACACTGGCCCATGATTCCCACCCTTGGACAAATGGCAATGGAAGTCGTTCACTGAAATCCAGAGCTGCTTGAGTCCAGATCTATCCCAAGCACCATGCCAGGGCTTCTCTTCACTAGGCATACGGAAAGTGTAAGGTGCTTGCGGGAACCGGGTCAGCATCCTGAGGGCTGACGGGCCACTGTTTGGAATCCAGCTAGGAGATACCAGGTAGGAGTTCATGTGCCGCACCCCACTGCCTGGCAGGGCAGACTTGGCCTCTAGGCTGAGCAGAACTGTTTGAAATATCTCCTTCTCCTAGAGACCAGCTCCTAGGGCTTTAACACTTTGCTTCTCAAGGGTCTACCTTGCAAACCAAAGGATGGCAGAGGGAAATATGAACAACTCTTCCAAGGTGCCCTGTGTAAGACAAAGGACTGTGACAGGTACAGAGCTGCTCTTGGGTGAGTGCTTGGCATGCATAGACCCAGCAATTCCCTGTGAGTAGAAAACCCTCATCTGTTTATTCTTTATGTACAAACATGGATTAATCGTCAGTGCAAGAATGATGCCAAGCCCACAAGGGTAAACATCCCACAGCTATAAACTTCTCCTCAGCCCCTTGACCCCATAGGGCACTGACATTAGCTTAGCAGCGTGGAAGAATTCTCTGTGTCTTCCCATATACCTTACAGGAGTTTGGGTGCTGTAGCCACTCTGACTCCCTAGCCTCACAGGAAATGACTCTTTTGTGTGTGTGTGTGGTGGGGTACCTGGGCTCAAACTCTTGGGTGCTGTAGCCACTCTGACTCCCTAGCCTCACAGGAAATGACTCTTTTGTGTGTGTGTGTGTGTGTGGTGGGGTACCTGGGCTCAAACTTGGGTCCTTGTACTTGCAAGGCAGGCGGCGGAACCACTGAGCAAAATTCCCACCTGGGAAATGATTCTGAGCAGCAGTTTCTTTAGCAATAGTGAAAGACGGGCCTTGTCTTTTCCGTGCCCACGGAGGTCAGCCATCCTCTGCTTGCTGAATGAAAGCGGCTGTATTGTTGGGCCTCCCTTCCGACAGGTCTCTGATGAGGCTGGCGATTCCTTGCTTCCAGTAATTGAGCGTCTGCTCTCTAGCTAGATGAATTTATGTACTGGTTCCCCACACACTGGGCTGATTTCCGAGATAGGGTTTTTGCAGTGACTCTTTCAGTCCTCTAAATCACATCAGATGACAGTGAATCTGCATTTCTTATCTAGCCTAGCCTCCTTC